CTCGGGAAACAGAAAATGAATTTTTTCCCGGGGTTCCCCTTTTTCGCTTTGGGACCCGGGGGAAAAGGATGCGGAGGGGGAGGCCCCCCCCCCGGCGTCCGTAAAAAAATCCCCCTCCCCCCGGGACAGGGCCCCGAACGCGGTGGAGGTCGCCGTCCCCATCGTGGTTGTTGGGGGCTGCTGTTTTGGGCACTTTTGTGTCTTTTTTTTTTTTTTTTGTGGCGGCGGCGGCGGCCCCATGGCGGTTGTTTTTTCCCCGGGGGAAAAACGGGTTTGGGCCCGGGTCCAAAAAAATGGCCCCCGGGGGGAAAAACCCCATGCCCCGTTTAGACCTTCCCCCCCCCCCCCCCCCCACCTCCTCCGCGCCCCATCACCGTGACGGGTAACAGGGCAAGGAAAAGGGGGCAAGGGTGGGAAGGGTCAGAGAGAGGGCACGAGACTCGAGAGGACAAACGACGCAAAAACCGGCCCGATTAAAAGTGTTACGCAAACACTGCGGGTCGCGAGATCATATTAAAGCAAGCGTTGGCAGAAGCCGGGAAGGAAGAAGAAGCAGAAGACGCAGTGGCCGAACAGGTGGAGGCGGCGGCGACGGGTACGCCAGGCCCCCCGCGGAAAACCTTGATCCCAGCGGCGAGGTCCCTGTTGGTGGCGGGCGGCGTGGTGGGGATGATGGTGGTCGTAGACGCAGAAGGGAGGATGATGGAAGAAGTGGCAGCCAGTGCGGCCCTTGCGGCGAGGTCGGTGGGAGCCCAGGCCGCGGTCGCCGGCGGGGGGGGCGACGCGGCGGTGTTGATGACGCAGCCGTTGCCCGCGGCCGCAGCCGGCGGGGAGCACGAGGCGGTCATCTCGCCCGCGTTGAAGACGCGGCCGTTGCCGTTGCCGTTGCCCGCGTCGCGGCCGTCGTCCTCTTTGCGGTCGATTCGCTGGCGGAGGCGGCGGTTCTCCTCCTGGAGGGCCTCCACCTGGATCTCCAGCTCGCCGATGCGGTCGCTCTTCCGCTTCCTCGACAGGGCGGCCGACTCCCGGTTCCTCAGCATCCTCTGCTGCTTGCGCACCTCCTTCTCGCTCACGCCGGGGCCGGCGCCTTCCTCCCCCAGGGAAGACGCGCCGCCCCCGCTAGCTGCCAGGGCGGCCAGCCGGGCGCGGGCGGCGGTGAGCTTGACGCGGCGGCGGGAGCGCGCCCGGACGGCGTCGGGGTTGACGAAGTGCACCTCGTCCAGGGCGTCCATGGTGGTGGCCATGATGACGGCGGTCGTCGTCGTTGTCGTCCTTGGTGTGCTGGCCGCTGGGAACGGAAAAAAATCGGGAGCAATCCTGCTCGTCGTGGCTGACGCAGCGGTGGATATGTCGGACTTGTTGTCTGCTCTCGGCTTCTTGATAACTTCCGAAGATACTCTTCGTTGAGGGCGTGCTGGGTATTTCCGATTGGCTTTTGGTGGCGAACAGGGCGGTCGTTTTTCTCGCTCGTCGGTCAGGATCAGCCTGGCGGATTCTCGTAGGTCGGTGCTTGGTTGCTGGGGTTGCGGCTCGTGGTAGTCATGGAAATGTTGCTGGACTTGAGGGACGGTGTTTGCGGCGAGGAATATTTATTTAGCACGACATCATCTGCGTTGGTTGGGGGGTGAGTCAAGCAACGGACAAGAGGGCAGAGGAGGAGGACGAAAAAAAGGGGTGGGGGAGGGGAGGGGAGGGGAGGGAGAAAGGAAATGAGAACGTGGAAGAGGGGGGAAGGCATGACATTACATTGGTGACGTACATCCAGCGACTTGCGAGAGGGGAGCGAAAAGCGGCGATGGGAGGTGGTGTGCTCAACGTGACGCATACTGCTGCAACAAGGAAAACGCTGACCACACCCCCGGATATGGCGTCGTCTACGACACGACTCCTTGTGTGCACGTTTTTTACGCGAAGGTGCACCGATTCTGGTAAAAGTCAATCGACGGATACCCTGCGGATCGGGTCCTCCAAATCGTAAAGGGCGTCGGGCAGGGAGGGATCACAGCATCCCCCTTGTCAACACAATGTTGATGCGCACAAAACACGGTCTTGTTCTTCCAACACGGACCACAAAATAATTTGGAAACGAAGGAGGTCTTGCGTGTGCTGCGTGCTACTGGTCGCATGGCATGGCCAGTGCATGTACATGTACACGGCATGATGCAGCCAAGAGGGGTGGCCGCTATCTTAACAACATAGAAGTAGGAAGCGCAGTTCATGACAGTACGTGCACAACAACAACAGCAGCAGTTGTAGTTTTTCTGCTGACACATGCTCTAACCGACTCTCGCACTCTGATACATCCAACAGGGCATATATATTGTGTGTTGGTTGTTGATCTGTGTTTGTCACGCGGTGTAGACGATGTAGTGGTGAGAAATGTCAGCAGCACTTCCGTTTCACACTCGGGTGTACATTGTAGGTCATGCGAAAGTTGGCGACAGCCACAATGGAACGAACGAAGACCAAGTTACGGGGCTGGAGAGAGGTACGATAGTTGTAGAGAGAGCCTTCTTACAATGCAAAACAGGTGACTCCACACACCAAGGCACTTTGTCGAAACCTACACCGTAGGTCTCTCCCAATGGCTGTACTGCTGCTACCTGCTATGCAGCTCTCTCTCCCACCAGCACCTACAGCACCTACAGCAGCAGGCGAAAGGCTCCAACAATATCTCACCTCAATCTCAGCAGGTGCTCGATGACCAGCGAAAGTTGTGAGCTCGAGGGTGGCAAGGATGTCGGCGGGGAAAATAGGGAGCAAAACGGGAAAACTCACGGCGTCTTCTCGAAGGAGACACGTGTCACCAATCGGCTGGGCGAAACTCAAAAATGAGAATTAAAAATGAGAATTAAAGGGGGTCTCTGTGGGAACCGGTCCTGGCGCCGGTTCACAAAAATGCCCATACACATCTTGTTGATGAGCCTGTTGCACCGCACGGGGGGGAGATTACTTTCCTGCTCAGGGAAACGTAGATTGACAGGAACTACGGTAACTCCATGTCTTCATTGCTAATCTATCCCGGACCCTCTGGAGCGGAGAATCTCTTCGAAATGTGTGTGTTTGAATAAATTACTGCTGTCGGGTAGGGTGTGGGGAGGTGGGTAGCGGGTAGCGGGGTGTTTGAAAAAAGAATCCCATAATCTGTCTCAGACTCTTTTCTATGATAGAGATGGTTTCGTTGTGTCATATTAAGAAAAAAAAAAAATCTAGGGACGCGGGGGGGGGGGGGGAATCGTTTGCCCGCCCCCGGCTGGTTGCTCTTGACTGGTGGTCGTTGAACATGCGAAAGCAGCGAAAGTAGGTATATATTTTTTTTATTATTTTTCCTTACTTAATAAATCCCCCGCCTCTTGTCTACTACGTACGGTGCAGTATTCTCGGTGTACATCCGGTGGATCGGCTGGGAGCAGCTACACTTCTGCCCGTGCGGCCGAATAGCAAGCACGCCGAGCACAGACTCGACCACTTAACACAGGTATACGTGTGTGCAAGTTGTTTTGTGAAAGGTGCTTGCTGTGCGGGGGAAGAACACGCCGCGTGTGGTACGTATCTTTTGCGGACGGTTGTTGTTCTTCTGTAGTAGAGTCGCACACCAACGCACGAGGCGTGCATGTGGTACGCGCTCGAACCCAGTGACACCATCTCGCCTTTGACCGGCATGAGATTGCTACTTTGTTGCTTCGCAGGCCTCTGTCGACTATGAAATAATATATGTAGACACGCCGCCGCTGCTGCTGCTGTGGTATCTCCACTGAACCCTTGCACGATCCAGCAGCTGGCTCTTATTCCTCCACAAGAGGGTGCGTATTAGGTCCGTTTTGTCGTGTGCAGTTTATGTAGCGCAGCTTGGCTCGGTAAGCACGGAAGAGAGTGAGCTGGATGTACATGTCTACGAAGCGCTTGAGTACACTTCGTCGAACTGCTGTACTTTCGTGCACGCACATCAGCAATGAATGCATATTAGAGCTCCTCTGAAAAGTTGCAGGACAAAAAGAGCGGGAAGATGTGAGCCCGTACGTGCTGCCGAAGACATCGAGACATCGAAGATCTGTGTCAGCATTACTACATTGTCGTGAACTTCGTATGTTAACCATCCGTACCCGCGTCCTCTACTTGTTTGGTTGTATCTTGTTTCTCGAACTCGCCTGCTTGTTGCTCCGGTGATAAACTTGTTCTTCCACTGGTTGTCTACCAAACCCCCAAAAAACAATAATTAAACAAAGAACAACACATACCGGTATATTTTTGTATTCGTGTGCTCGTGTTTATTCATTCTCGTCCGTCCTGAAAAAGAGTCAAGTACAGTGGTTTTTGGCAATTGCTGTCCTGACCGAAAGCTAAGAATTGAGCAACCGCCGAAATCTCGACCATCGCACACATCTGTTCAATAAACAAATGGGCCTTGAACTACGTACTACGTCGAGCGCATGCGCCACCACCACTCCATCTACTTTTTCTGTGTGGGCGAAAGATCCCGCCCCAGGTCGGTGAGCGAAGGGCCATCACCACCATTGGTTCAGATAGGGAGCAACGACCAATGTGCTTTGCATGGTTGTCAAGTTCCCCATTGCCCCCGACTATGCCCCCTCCCCATGAAAAATGTCTGAAAATCCACGTGCCCCACAAACCCTTCTTCACGCGGAACATTTTCTCCGCAAGGAGCGAATTCGTGCAAACTGTCGCGATCTTTGACGTGATTGGTCTTCAAATGAATGTCCTGCCGCTTTGGAGTGGGAAACGAGACGTGCAACTCGATCCGAATGTCCTTCATGCTTCACTCGATTTAAAAAGCACTCCCATCCTTCAGTTGACGTCGTCTACAGACCCAAGCGTCTCTGTATGAAGTGAAAATTTCTACAGAGGGCGAACCTTTGTCGGCCGTGCTTGTGAATTAGTGCACTGGCAGACTTATCTTATCATTGGTGGAGGATGTTGACGGACGTTGCTTTGTCGGATAGCGACTGAGATGATATCCACATGGACAATTGCTACACACCAGATGGTGCAACAAAGTGACCGGACGTGTGGACACCTTGCAACAGATATCGATTCGCGGAGCTCGTTGATTCAAGGCGGGAGTACAGCGAAGAACTATTGTTGCAGGTGTCCACATCTGCCTTCTAAGCATCGAGATGCCACCGCTGGATGCTGACGACAACGGCAACATAAAGGTGTGCGTGTCTTCTTCGATCTCGATAGTTGTGCCCACTCCTACTGCTGATTCTGCTGGTCGAGCTTCTGGAGAATGTGTCACCTCGATGTCGGAGCTTGCCACCAGGGCAAAAAAAAATGAACGATTTGGCGACTATATTTTGCGGAAAGAATGCGCACACCGGCGAAATATACTATCCGCTGTCGATGCAGCACCACTGCCTGGAAAAAAAAGTGCCAGGATAGTTTGTGGCGGCAAACGTTGCGGCTGACCACCGGATTGGTCTCTCTTTTTAAGCGTTATTCAGTACAAAAGCGTGGGTGCCGCGGGTAGACGTTCGTTTTCGATGGCGAAGACCCCCACCAACACTCGGAGTTCGCCCTGTGTTGAGGTTCGTTACCAGCTGCTGGTTCCTGTGCACTACTATGTAACGGACGATAATGGTGCCGCCGCTGCCCCTGCTGGCTACTGCTCCAGGAGGGGATAAAGCCGAGTCGATCGTTTCACACTTCTTTTTAGTACTGACGAAGGCGGGCAACCTCTCCCCCTCTCTCCACAGGTCCTCTATAGGAATACCCTAAGGGACCGGAGGGCTAGCCCCCATTCTCCGATAGGAGGGTCGCGAAATGGGACCGGCAGTATTTTTCGCAATAAACGCGGTGGAAACTTGCACGTGCTAGAGTCAAACTCCCCGGGGCGCGCGGTTGCGTCCGGCGACCGAGAGAGCATGGAAAGCAAACGTATAGTTTTGAACACAAGTAATCTCCAAAATTTTTGTTCGTCCTCCGTGATCCCCGTTTCACTCTCTTCCCCTCTCCCCAATATATCCCGCGCCTCTTGCGGTTGTTGTGCCGTGCAAAAATTCTCATCTGTAGTCGCAAAGGCGGGTCTCCCTGCAGTCAGGCGTCACCTCATCAGGTATGCCGAGCCTGCACGAAATGGGAGCGGACGCGCACGCCGCAGACACCCCACCTGCCGGCGGTACAACAACCGAAGGAGGCACCGCAGCCGTTGCATGGGTGGGCGGAAGAGGGTCGGACGCCCCCTCTCACCTGGTCAACAAGGACTGCCAGGGCGAACGGAAACACGGACTAGGAGACGTCTACGCGGACGGTTCGCATGAAGACGAGGATGAGGCCGCCACTCTCTTGGGGTCTCATCACGGCAAGGAGCAATTGGGGCTGTCAGTGTTCGATTTCTTCAAGCTTGTGAGTGTGTTTTGTGCTGTGTATGACAAGGTTGGGGCTGGGATGGGTGGGGAAGGAGCAGATTTCCATGTACGACATCCTGATTCAGAATTCAACCGGCGGGTTTATGCTCTTGTACGCCACTTGGGCCGCTGCGTAGCTCCGTGTGCATGCTCTTCTTCGGCCAGCGATACGCACCGGCCACGTCAACGAGCTCTATTCGAGAATCGAAGCAGTTCTTGTTTCAGTCTAGGTATTGCTTTCTCGACCTGTTTCTGGTGGTTCAAGAACTGCGTACTTGCCGCTGATGGTTTCCTGTGTGTTGGCCGTCTGGCTGGTTGGTTGGCTGGCTGATGGCTGTCCGCTCCTCCCGTCGTCCAGGTCACGCTAGCGTCGGCCCTCTACAAGGCCATCATTACTTGGGCCGTCTCCTACGACCGGGACACGGGGCACATATGCCCATCAGAGTGAGAGCCGTAACGTAGTGGGGTATTCGCAGTCGACACGCATATGGTGCAAGTAGACTGAGTTCCATAGGGCGTGAGAGACACGTTTGTAATGCTGTATACCTCCCGTACGGAGCGGGGGGCACCAGAGCGATCATTCTCATGGCGGTGTGACGAGGATATCGTGTCTTTCGGTACGGGGTGTTGACGTGGTGCGGGCACGTCGTGGACTGTTTTTGTGGGTCTCGTTCGAAAAGAGAGCAAGTTGCGGGTCTCGGTTGTTCGTTACTTCTCAGTGGGCCGTCGGTGGGCCGTGGGAAACGTTCTACCTGAGTACCCATGGAGTTGGTGTGTTTAACGGAAACGGTTTGAGTTCGCACGATGGATGTCGTGGCAACAACTGATATGCTGCCGTGTGTAGGAAACGAACATCGATTTCCTCTCACGCGGAACTCCCCCGTCGTTTCAAATGATCTCAATTGTGCCCTCACGTTACCAGCGTCATCTGCGCCACGACGTTGCCCGAGAAAGTCATGTTGACCGGGTCCCGTTTTCTTGCGGGCCTCCTGTACGCTAGCCTGTCGGTGTCGGTCGTCTCCAAGTGCTACGCGTCGCGGGCGTACCTCCACCACTCGTGGCTTGGCACCGTTCTCGACTTCGAGCCCGCCCACGATCTGCACACCTGTGAGTTGATCTGGTTGTTGTCGGCGGCGGCGTTGGTGTCGTCGGTCGGTTGTATGATCGTTATTAAGGTTTTAACGTGTTCGTAGTCGTGTTGGCGATGTTGTGGTGGTTGCTGCCGTTGACGGAACAGCGGCGATGTGGTTGATGATGGTACTTCTACCCGCACAATTCCAACCCCACCACTTTAGGTATAATGTTCATGTACCTGTATTGATGGCGCAAGTTTTCGTGCTTGCGCGTGGCGTCGTTTTGTCCTCTATCGGAGGGTTGCACGAGTGACCTTGTACGAGCGGTGCTTGTTCTTTCTGAACTGTTTTGAGGAATCAATGACGTGGGGAAGGTTGAATAAACTACCCGCTTGTGGAGGACTCTCCAAAACTGAAGGTTGCAAGATCGTTTGCCAGCTCTGTCCTGTCGAACTGACTTCCGTCATCTCAAACACGTCTACAGCGGGTTACATCTCGTCCACCCCAACCACTGGAAGTTCATTCCTCCAGCCGTACACCGTTCCTAAGTGTCTTCGCGGCGCTAACATCAATTGCAATTTTACCTATCCCGCCCGTCCCCCCACCGCCATGCGGGCGTGCTTTTCTTTCTCTATACCATAACATATCTTACGAACTCCGATCGTCACACGGAATCTTTTCGCTTTGAATATCGGATTGGGAACAGACTTCGGCTTTCTGACCCTCGTGGCCGGCTGGGCGCACGGGGTGCTTCATCTCGCCCGGGTGAGTGCGGAATCCTGTGCTTGTTTGCGTCTATTTATAGTGAGCATCGGCCGCGCGCACCAGACAGACAGACAGACAGACAGACAAAGAAAAGCGTGGTGATGGAATACGAGAAAGAGAGAGAGAGAGAGAGGAAAAACAAGACAAGGAACGAGAAAGGGGACTAGAAGAGGGACACGCAGGAGGGGAGTGAAGAGAGGCGGAGAGATGACTAGTTTTTGATCCATTTCGCATCTTCACGTGGCAGGAAGCCAAAAGTACGAAAGTTCATGGTAACGGCAGTCGAGGAAGAAACGGTTAAGCCTCCTCGCTTTTTGAGAATTTTGCCAAGCACCGCAGAAGAGAGAATCGCATGGGTAGCCTCGTAAACTTGAGAAAAACTTGTCATTTAGTACTGTTGCTTGCAGTCTTGCCCTATACCTTTTGGCCAGCCTTTATTAGTTGAGGAATTCCGATTAGGAGGGAGTACGCAACAGCATTCCTCTCATGCCATGGCTGATTGTTTACGCCATCCTGAGAAGAGCCCTCAAGCATACCTGTCACCAAGCGCTCCCCCACCGAAACTCTTCAGTAGTCACTGTGGGCGACGACGCTAGAGATGAGACGAAAACAACAACAAGGAGAGAAGGAAACAGTAGGTGACATTGAGACAGCAGAGAGGGAGGAAGCGAGGTACGAATAGACGCACCGCGGGAGGACTTGTTCCGCCAGAGAGAGAGGCTTACATTGATTTTCTGCCCCATCACGCTCTCCCATCTTGTAGGTAAGCTACGCGGATGAGAAGTTTCTCATGTACGAAACGCACGCCTTCCGATCGGGGATTTTTGCCATACTGTTGCTGCTGCCCATCGTGCTACCCATGAGGTTCAGCTTCTTCCGGAATAAGGTGAGGGTTTTATACATATATCCAGAGAAACGCGGCCCTTCTTGTATGTATCTTTTTTATTTCGAGGTCCCTACGGGCTGTGTTTCCACCTGGGTACAGCGCAGTGCGGCCGGGTACACAGAGCGGATTAGATAGAGCACGGAACGTGATTTGAAAGGTCGTTGGAATGTTGTAGCGAAACCCAAATGAAGAGAAAACAGTCATCAACGGTAGTATTAGCTTCAGGGAACGCTGCTCGACACACGCACGATGCGAGGGCAAGAACGTCATTCAAAAAATGAAAAGTCATCAGTGCCTTTCGTGTTCTCTCTCAACAATTTATGCCATCCGGAATTTCCTTTCCAAATTCGCCTCCCCCACCTCTCCCGTCCCCCGGTTTCCCCCAGGACTACGGGTGAGACAAAAAAAGTTGATTTGTCCCATCCCTATGACTACTAATTGAGCTTTGCTCATGACGGAAACTGCTAGGCCTCATACCCGTCGCGACCATTGCCCCTGCAGATGACGTTCCAGTTCCGCAAGAGGATGCACATGCTCTTCCTCGTCATGCTGGTGGCGCTCTGCTTCCACAGTGTCGTGTTTAGATACGTGGCGTCCATCCTGCTCTTGTGGTACCTCATCGATAACTTCTACTTCATCACCAAGCAGTGAGTCGCGAACTGGGCGATGGGTGGTCCGTGCTTCATGGTTTGTTGCCGCCGAGAGTATGGTGTTGGTGCTGTTGTTTCATTGTGGGTGATGGTGTTTTTGGTGATTTGTGAGCGTCCCGGACAGAATGAAGCATCTTCCGTGTCCAGCGGGCAGGGTGAAGCATCTGGTTTGGTCGTACGTGCCCATCAGCACGCACAAACCAGGCATCCGAAACAGTAGTTAAACAAGTCCTTCTTACATGAACCCGACCATGTCGCGGGAATGGTTCAATGTCTGTACTCATGGACGATTGCGGGGTAACGGCTTGGTCCTCGGGGGACAGGCCTGCTGTAGCGCGAGGCATGGGGAGTACTCGATGTATACGTTGGACGGGGAAGGCGGTACGGAGTATGTGATCGGTATACACCCCCGCTGAAGTTTCCCAAAGAGCTGGGTGGCTGTGCGCTTGTCCGTCAAATCAGATCGCTCACCCGGACAGTTTTGCAGCTATTAATGTTGGTGCATGCAAGGCTTGCCTCCCGCTCACGACCGGCTAGACACACACGCGCGGAATACGGAGGATATCGAGTCTTCGTTTTGTCGACTCAATCAATTCTGTCAGTTTGTCCTAGCCGTGCAACTGGTGCCTTTTTCCTGCCTGCAAGCATTTCAGCTAACCCCGCCCCCCCCGATATTGACAATACCTACACTTCGTTGTCTACAGGACATTTTTGGTGTCTCATCCTACCTACGAGGCCATCGGGAGGGGCACGATGGTTGGGATCGACCTTCCAGAGTGAGTGATGAAGAAAGAATGCAACAAATAGGCAGCGCTAATCTCGGTTTGAGAGTACGTACATCAGCTGCAGCGTCGCGATTCAAAACCAACAGTAGGACAGGCTCAGGCGATCGGTGCTGTTGCATTTGGTAGCTTATTGGACTCGGAGTTATTGGACTCGGAGGGAAAGGAGCCACGGAAAAATGTGCAGAATATCTCCAAAGGAGTAGCGGGTGACGGGAGTTGCGCCGGTATGACGCAAGCCGTGCTGTGGCGCCATTCCTGGCTGTTGCTGCCATGCCAAGTGACTGCTATTTAGCTCCCTTTCGTTTGGAGATCAGGTATGTACCTAGCGAGCGATGCACCCCACCTGCATCTCCTTCGCCTTGAGTTGCCAGTAAGAGAGTCGACTGTTATTTCTTTTGTTTCGCCCATCCCTCTCTCTCTCTCTCTCTCTCTCTCTCTCTCTCTCTCTCTCTCTTTCTCTCTCTCTTTCTCTCTCTCTTTCTCTCTGCCTCCTTCCCTTCCCCATCTCATGCGCATGTCTATGTCTCTTTTACTGACTCTCTTCTTTCTCAGTGATTGGTCCGAACTCCACCCGAAAAGCAATCGCCCCTGCTTTGCTACCTCCTGTTGCAACCTGGCAGTATCACGTGGGCACCACAAGGAGGTTCTCCTTGAATTCAAACCGGATTTTATGTCGTCGCACGCATGCAGTCGTATTCACCTTCACACATATGGGAAAGAACACGCGTCAAAATCTCAGTATGACACATATCCCTCACCCGCCCTTTCTCCCACGCCTTCTTCCTCCGTCCTCATTCTACTGCACTTCCCTCGCTTATCAGAGGGTACACCTTCAAGGCAGGGTCCTACATCTACGTGAACTGCCCCGCCATCGACCGCGCAGAATGGCACCCTTTCTCCCTCATCCCCGTCCCCGGTGTCACGTCGAGGGCGGCGTTTTACGCGGAGGCGGTAAGCAGGCTCTGAAAATGCTCGTGCGTGTCTCGCTTGTGCTACATTTGGCCCTTCCTCTGAACGCTCTTACGCAGACGGCCATGAACGCGGCCTGGTGCCAAACTCAATGCTGCCGAGGAGGGAAGCCGTGCGGATCGAGCGAGAGAGAGAGAGAGAAAGAGAGAGAAAGATAGATAGAGAGAGAGAGAGAGAGAGAGAGAGAGAGAGAGAGAAAGATAGAGAGAGAGAGAAAGAGAGAGAGAGAGAGAAGCGGACAAAGAGAAGCAACAAGATCGGAAATCCTCAAAAATTGCGGACAAAGCTAACTTACAAGGAGGCGGTGGCAGGGTCCCCAGGGATGATTGAGCGAGAAACTTTCGTCCCACATCGCCCCTCCCCCCCCTCATCCACTCGTTGGTTTTTGCGGTCGTTGCCGTCCTCGTTGACCTGTCTGCCCGTGTATGCGGAGAGAGCAGGTTGGCGACTGGACGAAAGATCTGTTCCGCCTCGGGCTAGCGAACCCCTCCCAACCTCTGTGGATCACCGCGGCGCAGCCTAGCCTCATCGAGACGACGCTGTTTTACGACAACGGTAAGCTCCAGAATATTCGGCCAAAAAAACAACTACAATCAAAACAGTGTAACGTTGACATCCTCATCGAAACACGGATGAACTAAGATCACATGATGAACGTTTCCAGACAATCAACGATGAAAAGTCAGTTTATTGTGGATGACCCTTTGGTACAGAACGGTGAAGTCATACCAGCCAATATGTCCGGGAAACCATAGCGTCCCATGAAGTAAGGATAAATGCTGATGATTCCTCGTGTTCGTGCCAAAAAAGGTGAAGAAAGGTAGCTGCAGGCTTATAACCGTGGCAACATAATAGTTCCAGGTGAAGTCCCAGAGAAGAATACACGCGATACGGCGATCATCTCTTCGACAATGGTGAAAAGGACCACGACCACGGAAACAAACTCAACTGTTCACCGGGTTGCGGCTGTATCGCGACGAGGATAGATGGTGCACAAATATTTTGCGTTATTTCCTGCCTTCGAATTAACCTTGTTTGACTTGAAAACTTTGGCCACATGGAACCTATCCAGTACCCTTCCCGGGCTCGTAAAGTATTGTAGGAATCTATGTCCACGCTACCCCCCTCCTCCCGCCCCCATCCACTTACCCTCCCACCCCTCCTGAAAAACTGCGGGCACTAACATGAGTGAACCATATCGTTCCAAAGAGTGCGCCTTCCGCAACAGCGTTTCTTTGATTGGACGCAATTTGGTTGTGGCACTCTCTGTGTTGACTGGCGCCCCTACCTTTACGTTCATACCCACGGCTGTCTCTGCGGCTGCTGCGGCCGCCGCCATCGCTGCTCTTCCTGCTCTTCCTGTCATGCTTTTTGGGCCGGTCACTATCGCTACGGGGGACAAAAACGGCGATTTTGAGCAGTGCTGCTCATCTGCACCGGAGCGGGCATCACACCGGCTGTCGCCGTCGCCGACAGGTGAAAGAAAAATGCGGCGCAAATGCAAAAGTTTCAAACACGTTCACAACAACAAAATAGGCGGGGAAATAAATATTTTGCCACAATACTTCGACAGAACTAATTGTTGGATCCTCCCTCTTTCGTAAATATCTTCGTCTTTTCCGAAATCAAACCAGCTACATCATTGGGCTGACTTGACCGACACCTCTTTGCGAGTGCAAGCAGGAAAACCTCTGAAACCATGTCAAACACCGGTACCAGCTGTACTTGCAATCAGACCTAGTCATGGATTTTTTTTTCTTTTCCCTCCTCCCCGCTGTGGCTGGGCTCGGTTACCGATCTCGCTATAACCTAACCGCGTCTCGATTGCCTCGGAAAGTGTGAAGGGATGGGTTTCCGCCGCTCAAGCCAAGTACACGGGGATGGGCCAAAAGTGAAGATGGGTGGGCGGCGGTGAACGGTTATTGTCCTCGCCGTTCACGATGTGGACGCCACTTGTCTTTCTTTTTCTGCGTGTTGACACCTGTCTCTTCTTTTCTGTGTGGTTAGAAGGAAAAACAAAGACTAAGACACGTTGATATTTTTGTCCGATTATCCTCGTTCGCGAAATTATTCGTCCTACCAGTCAGTGTGAAGCCTCTCTTGTTTTCTCATGTTCCCGCGGGTTGTGTTTAGCTTGTTCTTGACAGTTTTCTGACGCGGATGTTCCAGGTTCGCGGCGAAAAAGAACATTCACCTGATGTGGATCGCGAGGGACCACGGCATGATGGCGCTCTTCGAGAAGCAGGTGCGTGGATGTACGTACAAACGCATGGGAATGTTGAGAGGGCATGTGTGCTGATACTTGAACTGCACATAGCTACTGCTTGGCGTCTTATGCACCGTTGCACCAAACTCGAGAATAGGGCGTGTTGTGGCGATGGCCCACCCATCCATCTGGTCCAATGAGAAGGAGAATTTCGTAGCGTCTAACATAGTAGGCACCAGTGTGTTTTCGTGACATGGAGATGTGATCTCCCCTGCCGCGGCTAGCTTTGTGCCACTCTGCCCGTGTGTTGTCCGACGCACGATACCTCCCCCGCTGTTGCATGCCTTGGTGTGTGTTTTGCAGCTGAGGATGGTGACCAGCACGGTGCACCTCACCGGCAATCCCGACGAAGAGATCAAGGATGCCATGTCCAAGCTCCTCTCCCGATCTACGAACAAGTTTTGCACCAAGAAGGGGAAGTGGGTCGGGGATGCCGAGGTGGGTGACGATTAACCAAGCTCGGATTCCGGCATGGTATGGGAATCAAGACAAAGTACACCACGCGAGTTTCCTCCACCATGACGTATTCGGTCGTGAACAAGCTCTTCATGTGCGAACGTGCTCCACGTTTTATGGCCCCGCGAAACTCACTTTCTCGCCATTGTTGTAGTGGTTTTGGTCGTGCCCTCTGCGTGGTTGAGTTTGTTGTTTAAGTACGAGGAACGCCGACACCTGCCGTGTTTTCTTCGCTCTTACTCCACCTAGAAATACTTCTCGTTTCAATTTTTGCAATTGTCTCAATTGTTTTTCACCGTATTCTTGACTAGTATAATGTGTATTAGATTCTTCCCATAGTTTGTTGAACATGCAACTAAATCGTTTTTTCTCTCTTACAACAAGTCGAACTCCCCTCGTCATTAATTTTCTGCGGTGCACGTCATTGATTGGTGCGCGTCAGGCGGGGGAACTACTGACGCATACGTCTCTGCACAAGCTGACGCACTCGTCGGTGCACAGGCACGGCGACAGCCTCCAGTCCGTGTTCGCCCGTGCGAGGCAACACTCTCAAGGCACCATGCTCAGCGACATCGAAGACGACAGGACGAGGGTGAGTACGTCTGTTTGTTTGTTTTGCGTGCGAGAGCTTACGGACCTCATCTCGCTAGGTGTTACTGTCCATCACTCCTACTCACGTTCGTGGCACACTACCGTGTACTCCCGCACGGTCGTCCACTGTCTTCTCCTGCATTCATTCGTAGTCATCATACCGTTGTAACCCGCACTCCCGGCACGCGCGCGCACCTCCCCCCAAACGTTTTCCTTAACTGAAACCTCATCCTTGCATCATCGTAGCAAAAAAGTGAACCACCGTCGCAAAACACGTCCATTATTTTGTCCCTTTGTGGTTTGATAAACAACGTGCCAATTGTTATTCTTCTTCGCTCGGCCGTCGCCCTTTGCGCTTCCAGGAAGACACAACCGGCTGGGGAGAGCACGGTGACATGCCTCCCCCCGTGGCCCATGACGTCACCCTCAACTTCGGCCGACCCGACATCGCCAAGTTTATCCTGGACGCCCTGAACGCTACTCCATCGGCGACCCTTACCGCGGGCATCGGCTTGTCCGGGACCGGAGCGACTACGGGGATAGGAGCGGCGAGGACGTCTCCCAGGTCCAGCGGAAACACCGCAAACGCGGCCACCAAGAGGATGGACAACCAGGTTTGTGTCATGCGCGAAAGCGCAAGGCATGCAAGGCTACGTAGTGTCTATGCTCTAGCCCGTGTACTTCACGCCTGTAGTAAGAAGAGAGAGAGGCTAGCCTAAGACTACCCCCTCCCCTGTAGCGGGGGGGGTGACTCTACTCTTGTAGATGCAAAACAGATGACTAATGAGACAATGAAGAAATCAGAAAACAGGACGAATAAGCACGTGGGCGAACCACTAAGGCAAGAGTACCAACTGTTCCTTTGCCGTGACTCGTACAAGAACAGTGCTCGTGAGCTACTCGTTGCACGATGCTTGTTTCGCATGTTAGGATGATCCGAACTGGGGGTAGCTTGTCGCAAGACGTGTGTTGAATAGGGTGTCGGCAACTCGGCGAACTCGCGCCAAGGAGGAAAGATGTGCTGGGTTTGTTGTATAGACTTCTTCACATGAACACATGAACACATGAACACATGAACACATGATGAACACATGAACACATGAACACATGAACACATGAACACATGAACAGACATGGACTGCACGCACGCGTGCACGCACCACCATGAGGGGGCGACGCAGTATACAACAGGGGTACCTTGCACAACCTGGAAATACATTCCACGTACCACACAATCCTACATCCACTTGGCATTGCTACAAGTATATCTATCATCGCAGACCAACGACGGCGTTGGATGATGAAGACGTCTTGTGTCTTGTGCATTCCCTGATTAGACCATCGGCGTGTTGCCTCTGTTATTTCAGGGGCACCTCCAGTTGATATATGACACAGATGTGCGTGGTGTATTCGCCGACCACCCGGCGGTGCTGGCGTGTTTGATAAACCATGGTCGTGCAACCCTTGTACACATCCCGTGCAAAGACTCTGCAGACGAAAACAATCCATCTTCGTGCTAGATTAAAAAAAAACATCTTCGTACTGGAGTATCTTTTGGTCAGCCCGTGGGAACTATGGCACGCGCGCGCCATCCCATCCCAACCTATCCCTGTCATCCCTTACGACTGCGTGCACAACGCACGACATACATCAACTCCGTTGTTACATCACGGCCTCAACTCCCTCCTCCTCGTCATGTTCCTTCCCCGTGAAGGTGACCGAGCACCTCGATGCATCCCAGAAGAAGTCGAGGACCGTACTTATCAGGGCCAGCACCAGCACCGTGGAGAACATCAAGAAGGTGAGGAGGAGCATAAGTCACGCCCAAGTCTGGCTGGAAGACCTTCCTTGACGCGTACAATTCGTTTACACGTCTACCTCTTAGCGTATATCCCGGCAACACATTGGGAGAGGCGTTCCTCTTGTCTCTACGTGCTTTGAACCTATTTCGGGCCGTATTTATTGCATCATTTCGCAAGATCTTTGAGGTGTGTTGAAGAAATTCGAGCACGATCAAGCAGACCCTCCCCCCCTCCCCCACCCTGCCAACATGCACCCTAGCACTTAAGAAACTACATAGTAGAAGCGTCTGCGATCGGATGGTAGAAAGCGGGATCAACCAAAAGTTGACTGCAGCAATTTTGGTGTTACCGTGTTTATCGTTCGTTGTCGTGCCGTGAAGGGAACCTTCGACAGAAGAAGCGTTCGTTTCTGCAAACGCTGCGACCAATTGCTCGACTTGCTCGTCGGAAGTTGTGTGGTGTGTACCATCTACCGACGAACTTCATCGGGTCCTGCACACGCCTTTTCGTTCCTTGTCCCATGCACGAACCATCGCCCACAATTCCCACCCACCTCGTTGCGTTGTCCATTCAACAGAAGAACTCCGATTCGGGGTCACACAGACAAGCTCCTCTTCGGTGCCAATTTGTTTAGCTAAAGATATTGAGCGGTCGTGTTGCGCGAAGAGACGTTGTGAACAAGGTGTTGCGATGGAAGAACAACGCCTAGGGCGAAGTCAAACCAAACCGGGTACGGTTGAA